TCTGCCATCTAGTCGTTGGAGTTGTCTTAGCACTTTGCACAATATTGGGCATGATTTGTCCAAATCCTGTGCCCGTGGAATTTCCAGCAGTAGATCAAAAGATGTGAGTTGACACACAAGGATCCAGATCTAAGAACAGCTTGAATTGCTATGCTAGGTGCAGTGCTCCCTAGGAAAGGCAAGAGATATGGGCTACATGAGAAATTTTGAGATTGAATAGATGAATTGCTTATTGTGTCTGGTGTTCCTCCTCTGATTCAGAGCCTAGTGATACTTGCATCACTTCCTTGTGCTGAATCAAGCTGATTGGGGTTGGGGGTTGGTGTGTCCACCACCCCTTGGAGGCCAAAGTCCCATGCAAACACCATGGGCCTAAACCAAGACAATTAGAGAGAGAGAGAGGACAATAGGAGGGAGAAGCTGAGAGATCAGACAAGCTGAAAAATTGTGAAAAAAATAGGATAATGACAAGTGGGAATTCAAAGGGGTGCTTGCACAGTCACAAAACTTGATTTTTAGAAAAACATTTGTACAAGGTCAGATTCCCCTGTCTACAAAAATGATGGCATGGACCTACATCCTGCTGGAATTCTGCTACTTTGGTATCATCACCTCAGCAATTGACACATTTGACTTACATCATGACAGCATATTTATGTGTTTGCAACTTGCAGTTCTATTAAAGTGAATAGGGGTTGGGCGAAAAACTGACCAACCGGTTTTGCGCCCTTGAGAATTAAATCGAAAACAGCCGAAGATGGCCAAAATCAACTGGGGGCAGGTGTCACAGACCCGTTGCTGTGCCGGGTTACCCAAAGAGACCCAAATTCAGCCTTTGGGTGTGATTTTTCTTCTCCAGCCCCACCGATAGCTCAGCTTGAAGAATTCGGGCAAGATTTTGCACCTTTCACGGATCTGTAAAAGGTGCAAAAAGGGCGTTTGCGAGGCTTGAGGCGCCGCAAATTGCTTTCCCTGTAAGAGCTTTTGAACGGTTGAAGCGGTGGTGTGATCACAAAACCAACCATACCGGTCAACATTTTTGCAAAGCAAAAAGTTGGATAAAAAGGTTTGTTGGTTTTGTGTGGCTTTGATATTGATTTCGAGCCATCTCTTAAGCGTTCCCAAAGATTTGAACTGCAATTGAACAGGGTTTGGAAACTGGTTGGTCGGTTTTTCGCCCAACCCCTAATAGCTGACTCTATACCACTGGGAGCAACACCCAAACCCCGCCGCAGCGCGGCGGATTTTTGGTCCACGGAGGCAGCGGTGCGATCGACCCCAGTTTTACGGGGACCTCACCGCAGCGCTGCCGCAGTGAGAAAAAATCTCAAGGGGACCGCGGCGCGCTTGAGACCATCGCAGCGCGCCGCAGACTGGGGTTTTATTTCCCTAAATTTGAAAAAATGAGATTAATGCCAAAAAGAAAAAGACCTGCTTGAAAACCCTCAATCTGACAAAGTTGATCGAGAGACGACAACAGAATAGAAAAATGCTATTCATGATAGTAAGCGACCCTCTGTTGACGGTTAAGAACCTTTGACCTTTGTTGACTGATTTTGATGCGAATTTCTATGACCTTTAGCTTGTGTGATACATCGGTTTTTTGATACCAGCAGTACTCAGCTATCTTTCTTTGGACACTTTCAACTCGTATCCGGTTTGGCTCCTGATTCACTCACTGCTTTGTTATGAAATTCACATCTTTCAGTCTTGTATCGGCACCCGGTCATCTCACCTGCGCCACCTGCTCCTCTTCACCCTCCTCTACCGCCTCCACCCGACCAAATGGACCCCAATTACTCCCATGAGACAATGCTGGAGGGTCATGCAATCTCTCAAAGTCTCGCGCAGGCTGAACTAGAGGATCGATCCCTACATACATTCAATAAAGATGAATGTGGAGTACCTAAACTCTTCAGTCTGGTAACGGATATGGCGTTTCTGAATGAGCGCCATATTGTTTGGGAAAGCTTAGAGGATGTTGAGGGTGGTATGAGTGAGTTTTATGATGAGAATCAACTACAAGTCGCCTCAAAGCCCCAGCTTCACGTCAAACAGGTCAACATGCTGCCAGCGGTCCGCCGCGCAGAATTTCTGTCCCACCGCACGACACGACAGAGCCCAATCAGCTCAACAACGAGTGCCTCTTTTACTATAGCCCACACGTCCTGTCGGAGGTTTCAAGTTTGGTATTTTGTACCTTTAGATAACCTCTGTGAAAACACGAGTTGTGACTGTTCATCTGAAGTTTGAACTAACAATTGGACGTGTCAGGGGTTGAATATGTACAGTCTAGGCTATATGAGCCAAACTGGGCCCCTGGGTCCCCCCTGGGGTACCTTCAATGGGGCAGCGGCGGGTTGGACCTCAGTAAAAACTGGGCCCCGGCGCGGTTTTATCCCAGTGAGCGTTCAGTAGACTGAGGACGCGGCGGGACCCCCGCGCTGCCGCAGCGCTGCCCCAGTTTTCCGCGGCGGGGTTTGGGTGTTGCTGGGAGTGCAGGCATCAATCAACCAAAGCTACTTAATCATTTGGGCTGTTCCTTCTATTTGTGAAGTTGAGTAGGGCTTGATTTAGGATACCGGGATATGTTGATCAAAGCTCAAGAGATGACCTTGAGTTGTATCTAATGAAGCTGCTGGACTCAGGGAAGGCAGAATTCTGACCCCTTCTCCGCAATGCCATATGAAGTTGAACCTGCAACTTATCACTTCAAATGGATGAACAGTTTGTTGCAGTCAGACAGCAAAGACTGGGGCAGTTATCTCCAGGGATTATTTAAAAAGATTTCATGTCAAGACCAGTCCTTCACAGCAATTTGTTCCAAGTTTCAAAAGAGTACAACACTAAAGTTCAAAAATACCAATATACCTGCATTGAATAAAATATATGTCTTGGAAACTCTATTGAATCAATATTCAAAGAGAATGAAACAGCATATCAAATTACTCAAGCAAAAAAGTGAATCAGTATGAGATTCCTCATTACTTGATACCAGTAAATCCTGATACTGTTTTGTTTCTGCTAATCTCAACAGAGAGTCTGAAGAAATAAAAAACATCTTCACAAAGGATGAACAAGGGAAGCCAGGAGAATACCAAATTTGGTTAGAAAAACATTACACTCCTGAGAAAGAGACTGAGGTCTTCAAATATTGGGTTTCATGTGAGTCATGATCCTTCTTGTTCTCAAAAATGAAGTCTAATATAAACCATATCTCATTTCAAGACATGAATGTATATATATAAATGTGCCCTCAAGGGAATCCTTGAAGCCCAAACAATCCTGGTCAGCTGGATAAAATTAGACAGAAGAATTTCCTTGGGTATCCTGGCAAGAATTTTGGTTGGATTGATGCTTTCAGCAGCGGATGGGTTCACATTGTCAAGCTTCTACACATTGTTCACATGCATTCATTACAGCCATTGTGAGAACTAACGGTAACTTTTTTTTATTTTGTGTTGTGTCGAGATTTAATCCAAAACTGGCAAAAACTAAAAAAAACTCCTTTTTGACCATGAGTACCGTGAGATACAGGCATATTGCAGGAGCCAAAACAAGGTTTAGGCCTGTGAGATCAAAAAAAACTGAGTTTTGGACCAAAGATTAAACTCTAGTTAAAACTTGGCAACACCCATCACCTCAAAACTTACCAATAGTTCTCACAACGGCTGTAGACTGAAAGTGAGTTAGAAATTTAAACCACCTCAGATATTCCACAACCAAAGACTGATAAGAGCTTCATTTGTGTTTCCAGATCATTTAGGAAATCCCAACTTCAAACCAGATATGGTTATGGTTATTATTGTACAGAGTTTCATAAGTATCATAATTTTAAGAAGATCCAAGTCCTTTGGGGGAGGTCTGAGTGGGACCTAGGTTCTTCGGAGTATCTGATACCTGAATTCTGATCCTGATCCTTATAACATCACAAACCAAAAAAACCTAAAACTTATGGAAAAGCTGATTGTGAATGACGTCATGAGCAAGGACAATGGCCTGGAAACAGTCATGGAAGTTTTTTTAAACTTTCAACTACTTTGAAACCTTCCAAAGATGTGATCAGCCGATTCCTGGAATTTGTTATCCAACAATCCATAAAACCCTCAGAGAAATGGCACAAAAAGGCTTAGCAGTCTGTCCAGAGTTTAAGGGGGCAAATGCTCACAAGAAGAGGAGAATATCTATACAAAAGGTGTAGTGAGTTAATTCAACCTCATAGAAGATCTGGTATACGTGATTAGCAGAAGGAAAAGACTGTTTGGAGACGAGCTTAAACCCCTAAGAAATGTGAGCTTGCTGTGATCTTAATTGACCCCTGTATATACCTTTATTCAAAGATTTGTCGCAGTGTATCAAAACAATCAAAAAACCCATTGACGGCTTTAGACCAAAATCACAATCCACTCAGCTGTAAGACAGGGGATTGTATCCAGCACACGAAGCAGATGAATCTGTTGACTTGAGTTGAGTACGAGATGTCTGAGGCCAGACAGTGGTCTGATTGGCTACGCATGTTCAGGGCTAGAGCATGGTATCCTTCTTCCAAAAAGGTACCTGTGATCAACTTTTCGAAGTCCTTTTTTCACGTATGAGCAAGTAACGACTTTGCACAAGACACAAGCTGCCAGAAGGACGCCCAGATGTCCCCTCTTATATAGCTAATTTTGAGCTATTTTCTGGAGGGTTAGCTTAAGAAGAGTAATCTCTAAGCTACCATTTGTTAAAAAAGGATTATAAATAATTGATTTCAAAGAGTTGATGAAACAAGAAAGATGTGCCTAACGATTCTGAGTTTTTCAAACCGTCCCTACTACTTAATAAACATGAAGAAAAGCTATCTATAAATATGTGTTTACTTATACACATACCCTATCACCAAAACATATAGACAAAATTGAAACAAAGCGAATCTCGAAGTTTGATTACAATATTAAAGATGATGCAGAAACTATGAACAAGAACTGTTGAGTTGCAAACGAAAAAAGGAAATGTTAAGGTTATGTAGCACTAAACCACTTGGATTTAAAATAGGATGAATAAGGAGGAAAAGAAACATAACTAGAGGAAATGGGTTTGGTTGACTGACGCGAGTTTTGAGGATCCACAGGACGATGAGGTATCGAATCATAGTGATATCGACTACTCATATTAGCTTTAGAGAAATGATGAGAGAAAGAAATTAAATTTTGAAATAATGAGACCGAAGTGGATTTAAGAAATTGTGAGAAGTTTTTGGTTTTGTTTTGTATGGTGTTGGAATCGGAATCGGATTTATAGCGCAATAGAGTTTGATGATTTCTTTGAATTGACTCCAAATTGGTCTTTGTGGTTTGGACCGACTGGAAACGAGTAGGATGATGAGGATAGATGGGGTAATTAGAAATCATGGGTTCGATCAAAACTGAGCGAAGTGAAGAAGAAGCGTACGACTCATGTTTTGGAATACTATGCGAGGAATTCCTTTTGGTTGGATTCGAGATTCGACGTTTGAGTAATTTCAGGATTGATGAAGATGAAGTTTTGTTTTTGATTGAGATTGGTTTTGTGGATGATGAACTGGATGTTGAACTCATCTGAGTTCCGGATTCTGAGATTACATGCTCTTTGGGTTTGGCAATTCCATGTTCTTGTGACTTGCTTTCATCGTCTTCATGGGCTTCTTCTGTTTCTTCTGTTCCCTCTTCTTCTTCTTCTTCGTCTGTAAGGATGAAATTTCCATTTAAAGCTGAAATTCCATCGTCTAAAAGGTTTTTGCTCTTCACTATCAGATCGTCAAGACCTGAGGTTAGAGATTGAGAGTTATGAATAAATTCTGATGGTGTCGATTCTAGTTCTTCAGTTTGAGCTCGAGCTTGATTTCGGTTTAATTCCTTTTGATATAAATCATCAAAAGTCATCTTTGTAGATGTAAAGAAGTGAATGATAGGTTTGTTGGAGATTCGAATTTTCTAGAGTAGTTTCTTGATTTTCTGTCTTTTGAGTTCATATCCTCACGGGAGACTGAAAGTAGATCATTTATAAACAATTCAATTCAAATGTCCACTTGGACCGATGATCAGATATCTTCAAATGCTTGGGGTTTTTTTTTCAATCGATTCGGAAAAGAACTTAAAAGTTACGATCGCCATTTCTGGGAAATGTTTCGCAAAAGCACGATGAGAATGCGATTAAAAGCTGTACAGAGATACATTTGGAATCTTTCCCATTGAAGTTTCACATCTTGCTCTGCCATATACACATCTTCCGTTCCATCGCATGAAGCAAGCTTGACTAAAGTAGGTGTAACTTCGTGCCGGGGTTTGCACATCGCAAGCAATGGCTTCCTGGCGCGAAGTGAGGCTAGTCCGTGTCAAGATGGCTGTGTTTTGGGGGTTCGATTTTCACCCCCTCGATATTTCAACAATTCATCCTGCAAAAATGAGTTTCATCTGCACATAAAACTCAACACAACCTCGTTCCTCGTACACGACTTTTGAGACTGCTGACCCGAGGAACGTTCATTAAACGTCTGCAAATATTTTTGGAATGCAGTGAGGATGGCAGTTGACAGTCTGTCTGCAAGCTCAGCAGACCTTCAGTCTGGATGCTGACGATTGCCATCTTTGATTGGATCTCAACTGATACGCGAGGGAAGAACGGGCTTATTGACCAGTCTCGAATCTTGGTTGGGCTGGAGATCTCTCAAATGAAGAAGTTGATTCCTACAAACAATGACACCGTGTCACTCGCAGCAATCAGGATTTTGAGACATCCAGAAACTCGACCTTTGAGTTATTATGAAACTTTTGACTTGGACATGAATGAGAGAATCTGAAAGCAAGCAAGATGCTGAGGTATAACATAGTTGAATATCAAGAAATTTCATGGTGACACAAAAAAAGTTATCATCAAAAGCCATGGTATCACCTCATCCGAGTTCAATAAAACTTATCCGTCTACCAGGATGATTTCGATTGCCGTATATGGAAAGCTTCGTTGGGAGGAACATTCTGAGCTGAAGTGCAAAATGTGTTACCGAGCGCTATGCGGCCGCAGTCACTGCGGATGGGCGTGAATCTTTGTTTCTCAACCCAGTCCCATATTTGACTCCTTTGATTCTTATCTAGAACGCAATGATTCATGATCATGAGTAATATATTTTTGGCTGTAGATCCTCTACATTTCTTGCAGTGACGACCGAAAGCTGAAGCGTATAGGAAAACAAATACCAATCATCCTATCTATTATACGAAAACTTATGTTGTGGCTTCAAATAAGATAGTTCGGCTTCAACACTTTTGTTGTGTGCAGGGTCCTTCGAGGCCAAATGGCACTGCTTGCAGACAATGAGCTAGCCAAACACTATGTTCTTCAGGCTTGGGGAAATTTTTTGAGTTTGTCATCATGATCTTGTCTTACAGCTGCTTTCTTCCAACGGCCATCTCATGAGCACTTCCAAGTTCTGGAGGCTGGGAGTACATAGTCGAGAATATAGCCGGTCACGAATTCTGTGTATGAACCGTAGCTTGGTTAAAGTTTTATCTCGCCATGCAGCAATTCTAACTTGGATCAATGTTTCCATTCCCAGCGCTTCCGGGCTTTTTACTGAAGAGGTCTTATCCATCAATAACTTGCTTGCTGGGGTCTACGTGGAAAGCCTTGGAGGATTTGAGATCAATTACCGAGTGCAAGTTTCACCTTGCAGAGGAATATTTTGAAGGTGACTGAGGTATCCTTCGCGTTTTCCATGGTATCTGGATGCAAGTTATTCATAGACGTGAACAATAGGTGGGTTTCTGGTACCGGCTCACGATCACCAGAAAGAAACATCATGCACATTGGTAAGAGTTCGATCACTATTCTTTCTAAACACAAATTAGAAGAGGGGATGGTGCCTACACCAGTCTGTTAACTCAGCACAAACTTTAGTCTACATATCTTAGCACACACTCTGGTCCGCATACATCAATGATCGCCATTTTCTGTGTCTGCCCTTAATTTTGTGACGAACCCGAACTTATCAAAAGTCCTTCTCAATTCCAACCACCTGACTTATCATCCCACCAATTGCTTCACAACTCGTCCGACTACGCTCAGTCTTCGAATCCCAGATACAGTTAAAAGTGCTTTTCTTAGCCACCCGTAACTTTCCGCTTATCACCCTTTCGAACTTCATCTCTCTTGAATTTAAACCTTTCTTTCTTGCTTTTCTCAATTTATTCCAACACTAGGAGTCTCTCTTAACTTCAAATGGAACATCGTGCTACCGCTCCGTTGTCCACGCAGACTTTTGGTGTTCAACTTCGCAAAAAGAAGGCCACATATCCTCAGCGAGTCCACTCGCATTCCAGAAAAAAGAAAACTCCAGATGAGAGGACCCTTAGCACCGCTCGTAGGGCTCTCAGGGTCGCACGCTACAAGAAGGGCGTCGTTTATCGGAAGCTCGTTGCTGGCGACACCAATGCTGATACCAAGGAGTTGAAGTACAAAGTTCCGTCGAGGCTTCCCCGAAGGCATGAAGAGCCATTACTCCATGCTGTACTCCGCAAAAATACTTACGAGGCGAAGATTTTGTTGGAAAAAGCTATCTTAGTGGCGTAGATTGACTGTCCCTTCTTGAAGTCAGACTCGATTCCTTACTTTCTGCTCCCTTTCTCTTGCCGATACATCATGTTTTCAATGTACTGATAAGAGGCTTCTTGGCTTGACATTGAATTCTGTGCAAACTTCAAATAGTAACATGATTGTGATAAGGCTCCAAGCAACTATCGGTAATCAATTAAATAGAATACGATGCATCAATGAAGAGCCTTACGAATTCAACACCATTATCAAATTATTTCAAGGATACGTTACAAGAGATCAATCATCATCGAATCACTTACTTATTTGTGGTCCAGATCGTCGCAATGAATACACCACTACCTGGAGGGATATTACATAACTGGTTTGGTAGAGTTGCACTAGTTTTGAAACCCACCTTAGAATAAATTCAAATTGAGTCAATACCACCCTCAGAGGCTCCTCTGGTCTTTCAAAGGAATATGTCAAGTAATCCGAGCATAGGAGATAATGTATAAGTCCTGAATCAAAGCTGTATAGAACTCAAAGGTTTGAAAAGTTCTTCCATTGGAATATCAGTAGTGCTCGGACTCCAGTATTAGACTTTGGATCAAAATCACTACTATACTCTTGCCATCAGTGTTTTCAATATGTAATCTTTATCTTTTCATATCCTTTACCATCACACCAATTGTCACATTGTAAATATACCTCTCTCCACTCTGAGATCTTTTAATTCCAACCATATGATTATGTTCTGTACTTGGTGAAATCAAAAATCTGCTATATGTTGCAGTCATTCCCTTTACCGTGAAATTCCAACAGACACTTTCTCTGAAGTACATTTTCCCTTCAAAGACCGCCCATTCCAATTGTCACACATCTCCTATCTCACAAATCCAAAACTTGCCACACAAAGAAAATGATGCAAGTCATGTCAGTTTGAAGAGAGCCTTCTATCTACATATTGTGTTCTTCCACCACAAGTTAACCTATGCAATCAGTTTTTAGGTGGACAACTTATGCTTCACATAGGCTATATAAAAGTAAATGAAACCTTGGTAGTGAGGAGGCCTCAAGATACAGTGAAATGATCTTAAGGGCAACATGATATGGGTCAAGCAGCCCATGGGTTGGATAGGAAAACATCTAGGCATTGATTGCCAGTAGTTAGAATTATCTTGGAAAAACTTCTCAATATGTATACAAGACAGTTGCTTGTTTTGGTCAGTGATCACCCGCCTAACGCTACACAGAGCATTGTAGCAGAGGGTAACACCAAGTCTACATTTGAGATAATGGACATGAACCCATTGTGTGTGAGAAAATCAAGTAAGACTTGGATGAGTCTTGTCTACCATTAACTTTTTGAGTGCATACAGGTTGAAGAATGTCAGCTTATATGGATCACAAACCAGAAGGTGCTGTCTATTGAGTTAAACTTACAGGGTATACTCTTGAGTGTCAAGGTTTCTCACTGGATGCACACCTGGCTTCTTGGCACCAAACAATGTGATTCCAATATCAGTCTTCCCTTTGGTTTTGGTCAAAGCTTATCAGTCAAAATATGCTTTCTTCATTTTGGATTGTGCTTTTCATTAGACCAATTGTGATTCCCTGTTTTCCCTCTTTGTTCACCTTTCCTTTGTTCTCAATAGATTTTCAACACACTTTTATGCTTTCTTACTTTTATATTTAACCATGATATTTGTGTCTTTTCTATAATAATTTTCTAGGAAGACAGATCTTGCATAGATCCTTCCCAACAATTATTACAGCCTTGAGGGAACCAACAAGGTACAAGTTGGCTCCTAAGCAACAGGGACATAGCGGGGCCAAAGAGTTGGTACCACTGCCAGACCCAGTGGCTGGTACAAAGCAGGGAACCCATCCCTTGGAAATCTGATCTCTCAGAGTCAGACTTTACCAATCCTCAACTCATAGCCTCCAAAGCCCAAATTAATTAACAAGCCTGCACTTTAGAAGCTGTTTAGTTTTTTGACCATCCTGCCCACCCAGCAAAACAGAATGTTTAAAACTAAGATTGGTGTGATACCAAGAAGGTTGTTTGGTAAGACACAAAACAAGACAACACCCTCCCACCCACCCAATGGTGAGAGCACCTACCTTTAGCCCTTGTTTCAAGTGAACCAAAAGAAGGGCCAGAGTTGGGGCTCTGCCATTACTCTCAAAAAGGTATTCCCTGACCACGAGGTAAGAGGATACCAGGACAGTTTTCTGAACCATCACAAGACATAATCTTGGCAAAAATAAAAACAACCCCTCAGCAAGCTAACAGAGGAATGGGAATTGTAAACTGGAACACAGTTTAGACTCACCCTTGCTCTTGCTCTTCTTCTGATTCTGGTGGAGTTGGAGCTGGAGTAAACTCAGGACTCATATTTCTGTTTCTTCTCTAGATCACATTGTGTGAGTCCAAAAAAGGTCTGTTTGGCGGGAAGAGACTCCGTTATGGAATTGTGAGTATGAATCTGAGAGAAGACAAGAGAGTGAAAGGATTGAGGGGTTTGTAGGAACAGTTCTCACATGGGTGAGAAAATCACTGAGTGATTCCATCTCAGGTGCCTGGAGGATTACATCATCCAGGGCAAGACTGTTGTTGCACAGACAGGCTTAACTGATCTCCCTTCAGGAGTCACGTAACTTCGGCAAGACCTCAGTCACTGACAGAGCTTTCCCAGGTTGTGACACGGACAGGTTTGATTCCTAGTCCCAGCGTCACCAACCCGCAATCAAACTGCAGATGTAATTATGTCGGAAACCTTCAACTTCAAACAATATGTCAAGAAAGATTTAAAAATAAATATCAATAATCATTGAAGAGATTTTGAAAGTGCTCAAATTCAAGTTGTGGAATTTATACCATCAAAAATGGATGATAGTAGATAAATTCAGCTCAAATTTGACCCTATGGTGATTGCCTACACCTTTCTGGAAAACTCTCACAATTTTGTGTGTGAATTAAATAGAATGAAATCTTGGTAACATCAGTCATATTGAATTGTCTCATTTATCTGTTCCAGCTTTACTTCTTCAAATGTGTACTTCTTATTAAACTTTATTTGTTCCAAATGAACAAATTGTGCAAAACCACAATGCCTAATCATTTCAATGTATCAAAGCTCCTGTTCTTATGGATATTGACGAGTAAATGTGAACCAATATGGTCAAGACCAGGACTTGTTGTAACAGTAGGCTCACTCAGAGACACATTGGTTGTGTATAACAAGTTGGCCACACACACACAATCCTCCTGATACATTGCAATCTTTGTTACAATCTGTCCTCAAGGGCTTCTTGCTACCTGGCTATCTAGCCTGCAAAAGCACTTTTGAAGCAAACACACATACTCTGTTCCTATCATATGTAAAGAACAATTGTTTCACAAACACTGCACAAAAGTCCCTACTGTATACCCATTGTTTCTGATGTCCTAATAATAAATCCAAGTCATATCATACCATTTCTCCAATCAAAAGCTTAGAACAGTTTGAATTTTATTTGACTAGAATAACTGACTGTTCTTTAAAATGTGGTGTCTAGGCATTCCTGTTTTGTTGCCAACAGATCATGTATCCCATTCACACCTCATGAACTTGTACCAAGAAAATACAACTGTCACTTGAGCGCCCTTGGATTATTGTGCCTTGTTTGCTTTGCTTCTTCAATGTCTCTGATGCTTGATAGATCAAATTCAGCAATCCTTTTGAGACTTTTACTTTTGTCCACAAGAAATTCCAGAAAGCTGATGATGATGTTTTGTTGAATGATAGGAGAAGTTTGAATCATGATGAATTCTTTCATGAGAAGATCCAAGTCTTTGTCCTCTATTTCATCCAAAATCAAGTTCTCCATAACATAGAGGTAATCCCATGTATCTTTACTAGTTTTGATTTGAAGATAGAATGGCATGTCTGGTTGTAATATTTTGAGAAACAAGATCAGAAAAAAGCTTGAGACAATACTTAAAAAAGAAATCATACCACTTACAATTAGCCCAAAAAACAAAAACTTTCTTGATGTCTTTTGGATTCCTAGGGGAAACACTAGATAAACCATAGCTGAGTTGTGATTGAAGAGCCTTAAAATGTTCTAATCCACTGCAGACAAAAAGTAAAAAGTTCCAATTAAGCATTGTCATCAAAAGGTTAGAGGGATTTTTTTGGCAGTAAATTTTGATTTTCTGGGCACAAGTCCGGGCCCAGAATTCGAATTTACTGCCAAAAACAATCTGGGCACGCGCCCGGGCACGTGCCCGGATTCTACTTTGTATCCCTTATATATTGCCAACTTACCTATTGTCTAAAGACTTAATATAATCTACAAATTCCTCTTTCAGACCTTGAACATCTGAACCCATCCAATTCTCAAAATGAGGCCTGATATCATCAGGCATCACAGTGATGCCCATGGTAGATATTTCTTCCATATCTATGGAGCTGACCTGAATGGCTTGGATCTCCAAAATTCTCTTGAGGGGACCTTTTGTTTGAAAGTACACACTCATATCTTTAATGAGATGTGGTCACCGTTTATGTAAGTTTAGTCCTTTTTCACAATGACAGGCATGTGGACTCACATGAAGCCCAGTTTCTATACAGTACAGCCTCTTGATCAACAGAGTACTGTCCCTCCAGGCGAATTCCATATTCTCCCATTTTTTCTTGCCCAGTTCTGGTGAAAATGTCCTGTACTTCTTGAGTTTTACTGTTAGAAATATTGGAAAGAAACTCAATCAGAAAGACACTTGTGCTATTCAATCAATAATCTGTGGTTTCATACTCTTTTTGTTTTAGTGCACCAACATGCTCTTTCATTTTAGCTGCACATCTATCAAATACTTCATTTAACACATTTCTTATAGGTGATAGAAATTTATCCCCTTTCTGTTTGAAAACTTTTTCTTCTGCTTTGACTACTTCAAACAAAGTTACCTGAAGTGCTGATGTTGGCATGAAGTCTGAAAGTTGACTAATGAATTTCCAAAAATCTTCTATCTTGTATGACGGTTTATTCTTCATAATCTCTTCAAGGGTTTTAGCCCAAGTTTCACTTCCAGACTGTAACATCTTGTTAATCAATTTAACAGAATCTATCACATAAGTAGATATTCACAAGATTTATCAGTCATTGCTGTTGTTTATCTTATTAATTTGGAATGGTTCTTACCATCATTGAGAGCAGCAGAAGAAGTAACAAAAGGCTCAGAGTTTTTCCTTTCCTCAAGGGTCTTGTCCAAATATACCTCAAGGTTGTCTCTTGCATTTGGTTCAATTGTCCCAGAATGTTTGTACCAACTGTCATGATATGCTGTGGTGAAGGAGATAATAATCCAGTCAAGGTTTCAAATTTGATGGATTGACCAAAACAATCCCAATTCCATTCTCAAGAAATCAAGTACTCACGTTTGTTCAACAGACCAGACGATTCTGTCAAATGGATAGCTGCACTTGCTGAGCAACTCAAGTAACAGATTTGCACAAGGATCTGAGTGGAAAATGAAAGAATCACTCTTCTTGTTGGAGCTGTCATTGTTGGTTTTAAATTTCGAAAATCAATTTAACAATTGGGTGTGAGTTTTTGAGGTCACGTTGATGATGGTTTGAAATGAATGGGATCAATTTTAGATGATGCAGGAACAAAGAGATGACAAGATATGTACCAAAGACATATATATGTACTCAAGATTGATCTCATGTAAAACATATTTTACAATCACGTTTCAAACAGCATTGCGTTGAATTTAAAGCAGCAAAGTTATCTCAAATTGGTGGCCAAAAAAAATTGCAGTGACGATACTGCTTGAAACACTGGATGTTGGGGATAGTGTCTCATAGCATAAGGTGTGTGAAGGACGATTGATTCAAGAAGAAGAGTAAAAAGCTCTGGAACCGCAAGTCTTCCCAGGAGGTTTTACGTGAAAGGACTCAAAACTGGCATCAAACCAATATTTCTTGTTCACAGTGCATCTATTGACGCATGCCTAGGAGTCACATCCAGGGCATACTTACAAAAGTTAGAGGCTCCTTTGATCTTTCAAAGATGAACTTTGAGTGACTGGAAATACACAGAAATGTTTTACAACCAGGATAACTCATAAACTATGTGAAATGAAAAGGTCAGTGTGGTGTGGCCAAAAGTTCCTTGGTATGGATACATCCAAGGAACGGTAAATTTCACATTCCTAAAAACCTAACACCCCAGGAGGTGGACAGCGGAGACACTACCAAGACTACCAACTGTGTACATAAAATGATACCCACATCATGTGGAACAACCAAAAATGAGCTGATCACACAGAAATTCTTTCGATACCCTTGCCCGCTCCGCTGGTATTGTGAGCGTGAAGTACATCCAGACATGGCTTAACATCGTTCCAACACGAACTTTGAAATGAAATCCCAATCTCACATTGAACACTCAAACAAAACGAGACGTAAGTCAGCTCACAAAAATTTGCACAAACGCGAAATAGGGCAGGTCAAGTAGGCCAGTTTTTCGCTCGTTTTGGCCCATAAATGGGCAAAAAAGTGGTCTACTTGACCTGCCCTAGTGATTTGTGATGGTCAGGTTACGGCTTGTTAACTTTTCCTGGATTATCAAAGTATGCAAAGTATATCAATGTGTACGCGCACGAACTGTTGCTCAAGATTCTCTTTGAAAGCTTTGACGGGAAGAGCTAGAAGAGTCTATTCGCGATGTGATTGATACATACTCATATCAACAAGTCTATAAATCGAGAAATATTCTCACCGACCTGATACGGCCCAAGATGCACATGTATGTAAGAAATCTCAAGTCGTGGTGACTTTTATTTTTGTGTTATCTTTTTCTCATCTCTCTTTTTATTTTTCATTTCTTTTCGTATCTCTCAAAATTCTTAATCAGGACCCGGTGCCTGTGAGTTGTTGTACATAAACATTTTGCTGCACAGCCATGTGAATTCTGTATACACTGAATAATGCTTCTGGAACCAAATCTCCAGCTTTTACATCATTAAAGTGCTTGGCAAATTGGCAGTAAGTTTTGAAACCTTTGCGGATTTGATCTAGCCTTCCTTTACTTGCTACGAAGATTGAATTGGTGTCAGCAGTGAAGGATGATCAGATTCATGGTGGCTGCGCAAGGATGAGAGAGAGATGTTTTTGTAACTGTAGTTTAATGAACTGTATTATCAGTTTAAACCAATTGTCTGGACTGCATTGCCAACTTGATTCTTGGCTGTGCTTGTTTGCTTGTACTTGATTTGTTTTACATTGAGCTCAAGCAGTGATTATTAGGATTTCTTGAAAATAATCTTTTAACGATTCCCAATCCAATTTATCAATTTGAATTTGAATGAAGGAATCAATCGATCTTATCATTCACTGATCAGGTAATCAATCCCATCACTTATCATTTCACTATTCAAATTCATTAATTAATCAATTCACTTCATTTCCATCTTCGTCAGCTTTATCTTCACCCATTCACCATCACATTCACCACCACCATCACTATCATCATCATCAACACTATCATCATCCAACACTTCCATCTCGCCTTTTCGTCACGGTGGCGCATTCTTCAAACTCAGATCATTGTGCATCGACCAGCACCAACCAAGGCCTTCAAAACCTCACCACCTCATCATATGCTTCATCTCAACCTTCATCACTCTTTGACTCTTCAACACTCTCATCCGTTTCAAGTCCCGAATGCGATCAATCATCTCATTCTAAACTGAAACCATTCAAACCATCTCAACCGTTCATCATCGAAGAGCCATCAGAATCAGAACATATTTCTCCAGACATTGGACTTGATCGACTGATCTCTCTATCAACTCAGATGCTTGCAAGCTCTACGGCAGCACTAGCATCTACTATCGCAACACGTAGCTCGATATCTTCATTGACCAAAATTGAACATACCCTTGATCGAACCATTAGGACTCATGAACGAACTCTTAGAAGAAGACTTGATACAGTAGAAGAAAACAAACTTAAACTCGATAGTATAGGACGAGAGCTAAATTCGTGGCATGGAGAACATCATAATGTTGATCAAATCAATCATGAAGAAGAAGCAGCTCAATTAACTAAAACCATTGTCTCAGCTGAAAGAGCAAGAATGAAATCTGAATCTTCTCATCCAAGAGAAACATCATATAGACCTTTAGTTTCTATAAGACAACCCAAACAATCTACAACATACTCTAATACACTACACATCAATGCAGATGGATGTTTACCCAAACCTTCAAGTTTTACCAGAAAAACTTCATCAACTCATTCCTTACGACATTCGATTTCACATTTCAATTCGACAACCCGACCTCCTAGTCCTGCTTCATCACTTTTGAATTCTTTATCAATCACTTCACCACCTAAACTGTTTCATAAACGATCCAGTTCTTCTTCTTTTCTCAGTATCAAACAAGACGAAAGAGGTGAGAATCATCATCATCATCATTGTGTTTCTATTTTACCGATTACTGAAGAAGATTCTCAGATTCATTTGTTATCATCTCAAAGGAATCATCAGTCTGTAAATGATTCTTCTTCAACACGTTATCCAACACATCGTCATTTAAATTATCATCATGATTATCATTTCTTTGAATCAACAACTGGTGTAGGAGACTAAAAACCCTTTCAAACAAAATCCTTTTCTTCAAGATTTCATTTCTCGTTTTGTTGATCTCTTTTTTTTGGGGGGCGGAGACGGGAGGTCTTAAGTGATAAGTACTTTCAAATCAAGGAAGAAAAAAAAATTGAGAAATTGATGATCATTCATATCTATGTTTTGTAAAAGAAATGTTTGTAGAATTGAAGAAAAAATTTCATAAAGGATTAACAATTGTATCATGTTTCATTCAAACCTCTTTAATTAAATGTATGGTTTAATCTTTCTTCTTATATATATCTTTTTGGGTTTTCATTCTTAGTGGGTTTCAAGTTTTTTTTTCTTTAATTTGCAAACACAGAAAAACAAGTTGTGTGTTTTTGGTATCAGTTTCTTTGTGATTTGTTTACACATTTAAGATGTATATATATTTCAGGTAGAGATAAAGAAGAAGTTGAAGATTGATTATACATATGCATCAGTTTACTTACCACTCGTTTTAGTCTTATTTTAAAATTGCTTAAAATTTTTTTCTTTGTTGTTTCTTTTCTTTGGCCTTTTAGTGTTTGATTTGATTTCTTTTGCTATACATACATAGATACCTTGATCAAACTCTTTGCCATTCCCATTCAACTTATGTAAAGAGTCCAATTTGATCTTGTCACTTTAACTTATACAAATTTGTTTAGTATACCCAAATTGAAGAAGCAGAAATACAAGTTTTTTGTAAGTTTTTTGAGATGTTCTGTTACTCGTACTATGAAACGCTCAGAAACACACTTTTTGAGGATCCTTTTAAATGGATTGGATTTTGAAAACAACATTGGTCCTTAGCCAAGACTCAACCGGTATGAATCCGATGGTCTATTTCGCGAAAAGCGTGTAGGTAGAAGAGCAAAATTTTGGGTGTTCTCTTTGGAATTCATTTTCCTAAGTTTGGTATGTAGACAGTGGACACACACATGTGGAAGTGTCAAAGATATGCTGAGATATGTCCATAGTCATACTGACGTAATATGTGGAGTGTCAAACTGTATGGTAAACTGCTTGTTTACCCTCTTTCATCTTTACCACTCACTTCGATCACTTCACCATCATCATCATCCTCAACAACATCATCAACTGATTCCAAAAACAGTTCTCTCAAGACTCGAGTCCTTAAATCTAGACACTAGACGCGCTGGACCAATTTGAAGTGTTTATAAAGTTCATATTCATTCCGATCGACCGGTTCATCATTTCTCTGACCCATAAAATCTACAAATTCAGTCATCAAGAGTGACGTTAGAAACCAAGACTTTAAAAAATCCGGTATTCAATTATAATTCAAGATGGGTCAAACCGGTTCACAATTATTACAAGAAATTGAAAAGTCATCAAATTGTACGCTACCCAAGTTTATGATCAAGAGAGGTCTTCCAATATCATTGGATCACTGACTTTTGGATATCTTTTAAAAGTCACCGGTGAAGAAATTCAAAGACTAAAGAAACGGTTTATGAAATTGGATAGGGATCAATCAGGATCGATTGATAAAGAAGAATTCCTTCAGGTTTGTTTAGAATGCTAATTCACTTATTATCAAACTGAACCAAAGTTTCCAATCTGAGTGATCATCCATTTATGACTACCCTTATGACGGCTTGAAATCACTTCATGTAACACTTTTTTGGATCAATAGACGAGATACTGATCAAAATTCATCTTTTCTTTGGCTTTTTGATCAGATTCCAGCAATAGCAAATAACCCACTCGCGTCTAGGATGATTGCCATTTTCGATGAAGAGTAAGACATGTGGTCATTTGATTCATTACATATCTGAGCCAAAAAAAAACGTTGACCTTTATCAAATAGTGGTGGTGGTACAGTCGATTTCCAAGAGTTTGTAGACGGTTTATCCGCCTTCAGTAGTCGTGGAGATCGGGAACAAAAGCTAAAGTGTGAGTGGTATGATCGTACAAGACTGAATCTGATGGGATCATTGATTGATCTTTGATTTGATTGGTGATCAGTTGCTTTTAAAGTTTATGACATGGATCGGGATGGATTCATTTCGAATGGTGAATTGTTTTTAGTCCTGAAGATGATGGTGGGAAACAATTTGAAAGTAAGTTTCTCCTTAGTTCAAATCATTGAAAGTTCATTGACCCAGATCGCTCGATATTAGGATCAGCAATTACAACAAATCGTGGATAAGACAATTATGGAGGCGGATACTGATTGGTAAGAGTCTGATACTACCAATCGAAATTCTTGATCTATAACTGATAAGATTGATTATTTTGAATAGTGATGGAAAGTTATCATTTGATGAATTTAAACAGGTCGTTGCTAACACTGATATCGCCAAACAAATGACTCTAGAGGCTCTATTCTGAATCGATTTGAATTGGTTACTATTTTCTTTGTAATCACTTCATCTAACATATCGTTGATTCTGGTGAGGAAAGCTCTCATCCTGATCTGACTTTCCTTTGGACTTGATTTTTGGTCATATCTATTCTCTCAATCCGATTTATAGAGGTAGGATTATAAATAATATGAGATTGACGGAAGCCAAAGTTGAATGTAAACTCATTTACCTAGAGTTAAAAAACACACACTATCATCATGACACCACCATCTGATAACGACAACAGATGTAGATTATTACTTATTGGGCTGTTTCTTTCAAGTTGAAGAGATCAAGGTGAAATTGAATCGAACATTTCATGATTACTAAATTGGAAACCTTTGGAATTGGTGGTCTAAGCCGTGTGTGATAAGTCACGCTAGAAGTACTCTTCTGGAGTAAGACTCAAGAGCAAGGTCTACATTCTTATTGCCTTCATTCAATCAAATTTGGAGGCTTGTAAGATGTCCACTACCTAAAGAGAACACGCATTCTCAGACTTCTCTTTGTACACTGTGTTGATTAGATGAGTTTAACAGTGAATTTTGCAACTTTTTTGTGCCTTTGTCTTGGGTGCATGCAAGGTATCACATCAAAAAAAATATTCTCTATTTGCCTCATAAATTGAAGATGCATATAATTGCATCCAATGTAAACACATAGTCTCTCAAGCATGTCCAAATAATATCTTAACCTTTGTTGTGTTGCCAAATTTTTCTCCGGGTGGTTTTGGAGCCTTGTACATATGTTATTAGGTTTTGTATAGTTTTAACAACATGTTGAGCTGGAAAAATCCCCAAAAATCTAAGGTATCCTCAGATATAGATTTCCTTGGACTGTGAGTCTGAGGAATTCATCCAAGGCTTTCAACTTGGTCCCAAAGATTGCCTTGGATCATTTATTCAGACATTGCGTCTAAGGCTATTGCCATCTAAGGATACCTTAGATTTTCCAATTTGAGGCATATCTTTGTTTGAAGTGCATATACACCATTTTATCCACAAACACAAATTGATGTAAGAAATGAAACACTGATGAACTGATATTTCAGGTGTTTCAAATCCCAACCAAAGATCCCCACCTAACAACAAACCGCTTGATCAATTTTCTTTTAACGGTCCAAGATATCTTAAAGTCTTCAAGATCTTCAAGCTCATTCAAATACTCTATTCTCATTGATGAACTTCTATTAGGAAAATGTTGATTGGTAGATGCAAAACTTCTAAGGATATGTAGATCAAGAAAGATGATACCAATGGTTAGATTTGGGTTCGTATGAGAGCTCTTGACTGCTGGATGATCGGATTCGGTGGTGAGTAATGTGAGGTATCTCTCGATTCGTCTGTATCGATATCAAATGATATAAGTATACTACATCTAGAGACAGGTAAAAAACTGATCTTTGACCTCATTGCCAACCGAACGTCTCTCCGTACTGCTTTTGTACTTTTCCCAACCACTCCAGTTCGTTTTTGAATGATTGAAGAAAGAAATTTAGTGATCATGAAGCAGATTAGCATTGATGGTGCAACACCAATAGCACCAAATGTAAGAGATTGGGACCGAAGAATCGACTGAATGCCTTCCATTGCTATAGCAAGATCGACCTTGACTTTTTGAACTAGTATGGAAAGGATTTGAATACACTTAGCAATAGGAAGCAAGAGAAGGAGAAAGTGTGTGGTATGGAAACGTACTTTGAATAAGAAGTACCCGGATCAATGATCCGGCTACAGCTGATCGGATGGGAGTCTTTGAAAGCCACACCCGAGAGGATATCATTGAGTAGCTGGGAACAAAGGAAAGTAGCTAAAGAAAGAAGAAACATACCTTGATCTCATGTTCCCAAACTTTCAAGACCTCCGTCAAGTTACCTTCCCTCACATGTTGAGTCATTTCTTGGACCTGTTGATCATCCCAGCCAAACTTCTCCCGACCAAAGTCCGAGGTCATCCTTTCTAACGAAGCAAATTCAGATTGAAGGCTATCATCACTGATGATGGCTAAAGTGCCTCGATCACCGGCTTTCAAGGTCTGGAGTATGTCCTCGATCGGTCTCAATACCCAGCCTGTAATGAAACCATAGAATGTTTCTCGAGCATTAATCAGACTATCATAAATCTTTTGACGATATGAGTAAGCTAATTTGGTGAGCGTGTACGATGCAATCGGTATACTGATCAAGATGGGCCAGTTCCGGGTTATGAAATTGGGTGGCAATATGTCAATGATCCGATCTTGTAGACGCGCTTGTTGCAAAGGTAAAGTTTTCGTCAAAAGCTGGCTCAGTGATTCGTCGATTTGTTCCTCATCAGATGAGTCTGGTTGCAGATCAAGAGGGATCAGAGTACATTTCATATCTTCAACTAAGATGTTGAAGTGAGTGTTGATGTCTGCTTCTTGGGCATCGAGAGGGCCTACTTCTAATTGACGTTCAAGCTTATCAAACGATGAAAGGAGGTATCCAATTCGTTCAGCCAGCTCGGTTCGAATAGATTCAAGTTGCTTCCTTTTCTTTTTCGATTCATGCTTGATCAGAAAGATTGGAGAAAGCTTCGAGAGAAAGTCAGGCCGTTCGCTAGAGTTAGTTGAATGGAGTTGAGGAAATAAGTTCGATAGGAAGACATGAGGTCTTGATACTACTTGTGATAATCCATTCAGAAAGGTCGGTCTTGTTTCTCCTGTTGCCCTTGTTGACGTGATAAAGATTTGACGAGATAGATCATAAATTCGATTCGGTAAGGTTTGCAAGAAGTAATAAGTCGCTTGATGAGGATCTTGCTCGACTGATGACCAATATTCGATATGTTCTGATAGACTGAAGCTTTGATGAACAAGAGTATGTATGATTGTTGAGAAAGTGTTGAGAGTGAGTTGTTGAATGTGAGTATTTTGGTTGATATCGATATCTGATGACTGGTGATGGTTGATCAGTTGAGATTCTAATTCGTATGATAGTTTCTTGACCTTCACTTCAGCAAATGACATTCTCGTGGTAGTGCCAGTGGGCTTGATCGCTTGATATGTCGGTCTTGAAGATTTGGTGAGTTGTATCGGTTTCAGATCTTGTTGTACATGATGACGATGTGTTGGTCGATCGAGTTTGACAGATAAGTTCAGTCACTTTTCCTTCTATTTGGACAAAACACCAGAATCAGAAGGACAGGATACCTGGTACTATCAGTGGTCAACATCCTAGCTATGTAAACAGTCGACCAATTATGCAATTCCTCCAACTTCCAGTTCCACTTCTCCTTCTCGAAACTGTGAACCCAGGGCAGAAAATAAAGTTTACAAGGAACATTTCCGCCTTGGTTGTGGGACGACATTTTTTACATTGGACCTCACGCATCTTTCCGTGGTAAACTGCAGAGTACCTTTCCCCTATTTTTGCTCCGAATTCCCGCCAAGTGTGGAGAAACATTTTTCAGAGCATGCTGAAGTCTTATCAAAACTGGCTGCTTGTTTTGTGGACTATCTCCTCTTCACCGGCAGTGGGATCTTTTTTTCGAAACAAGTCATAATGTTGCATTTGCCGCACAACCTTAACCAGCGTGGCCGGAGTTTTTGGATCCAGATTTATTCCCCACAAACAAAAGCTATCTTGCATCGTCTGATATTATCTGCATGGCATGTCCATCACAGCCTGAGTGATTTTGGCCGCAAAATGGGACAAGCTTTTGTGACTGTGTTATTCAAAAGAAGATTTCAAATTTTCCACTCTTTTCTTACCTTGTTGTCAGGCCAACCATGAAAGTTTCAAGCAACAAAATTTTCCTGTTGTTTTGTTTTCCTTTAATCCTGGTGGACTTGTGCAGCGCCAGTCCCTACATTACAGACTTGGAGGGGTCAAAGGCAATAAGTGAGTAGACTTATAACTAGGATTTTAATGGAGAAATTGATCAAGAAAATCTGATGGTTCATGAGGTACATTCATCTTACCAACAAAGACTATTGCAAGATCTGGTATAAATATCCTGGTTATGGTCAATCAAGCACACAACATCACCTTAAGATGTATCTGGGGAAAAAGCTTGAAGAAAGACAAAGATCTGAACCATTCTTCAATTTTCTTTCCACTGTACATGATGGTATGTCATATCTTCAGAATAGCAACATATGGAACATACCAAATTGATAAAACCTGAATAAAGCCACATCTTCCAAGACAAAAGCCCTTGGACTAATGAACATCATCTTGAAATCTGACATCCAAACTTGGGCCCAACACCTTCAGGAAATATTCAAAGAACCCCCACTAGGAGAGATGATTGCATTCTGGAAATTTATCAGTGAGCTTTTGTATTTTATGCCAACATCAGCCCTTCAGGTGACTTTGATTGAAGCCATAAAATTGGAAAACCAATTGGGTGATGAGCAAGGCACAAGAGTTTTGAGGTCTCCACGTTTAGCCTTGCTAAGAGTAATAAGGATAGGTGGAGCAAATATGAAAGAACATATTTCTATACTGAAGGAGGTCAAGTAAGTTGTTCTCAAAGTTTCCACACATCATGAAATCCATCGATTCAATAAAAACACATTCTTCTCACCTTGAAAGCAAACCTGAAAGAGTCATAGATATCTTCACAAGGGAAGAGCAAGATAAGTTAGGAGTACATAGAATGCACCTAGAGGGTAAATGGTCCTCCTTTGAGGAAGAATTGATTTATCAACACTGGGCTTCTTGTGAGTCATTATAAGCCTTTTACTCAGCTTCAATGCAACTAAAATGAAAAACATTTGATGTTGAGGCATGAGCATGTACCTATGTGCTAAGGGTACACTCAAGAGAATTCTTGAAATTCAAGTCATTCAAGTCAGTTCTTTAAAGTTAGAAAAAAGAACTTCTTTGGGAATTCCTTCTATACCTCATGAAATAAGTCCAGTTTTTTAGCATTGGATTAACTCACATGTTCAAGATCTCACAAAACAATTGGTAGATTATATTTACAGTTTGGATGAAAAGTGGGTCAAATGTCCAATCTACTCAACCATTTGAACTACAATTACTGACCCTTGATTCTTTTTTCAAGAGGAGTTTCAGAATTCCTTGATTACCAATCAGAAACTGATTTTGGTTTTGTCATTCACGGAGTTTTCCATCCAAGAGAGGAGAAGAAGATCATAATCTTTTGGGCAACTCGTGCGTGTTCTATTCTGATCAATTTTTGGATGTTGAATATCCTATGTACTAATTAGAATTACTATGACTTCTCAACAAGATATGTCTTTCTATCTTGAAGTGAAAGTAAGGGAAGATACAATTGAATGTTTCAAATGTATAGAGAAATTGATTTTGCAAGGCAGTATGGAAAAGTTTCTAAAAATATGGACTCCTTTGAGATTCCAGGACAGTTTGATTGTCAGGTTGTTGGGATTTTCCCTGGGACAAACTCAAATCAGAATTTCTGGAACAATTTCTGAGTGATATTGGGTAGACCATTACTTTAATTTACTACATACATTACAACAACAAAGTAATTAGATAGACAAACAATCCAACTAACGCAGTATTTCCATTCATTGTACAAAGATATTCCAAAATCAATAAGACACAATTGCTCAAGTTTTCTGTGTTGTTATCAAATAGGAATGAGTGGCTAAATAGAATTGACGTGCATTACCTTGAGGGGACGGTCTCTCGAAGTTCCTTGTGAAAGACCATGATCAATATCTGTTGTCATTTTTTTGGCGAGATCACCCCAGGGATCTTGCTGTTAGCACGGCACGCAAGGTGAAATATTCAATGAAACCGGTGCTGTTGAATGTTTCCGGCAAAGGATCTCAGCGGATCACAAGCAGCAAAATGTAATTTAAAATGATTCCAATCTTTTTCAACCTTGAGACTGAAGCACGTGATTTTCACTGCCGTGAACTCGAGGTTTGATACACGGAAGGTTATGTTCAAAGAGTTTAAAGATGAGAAAAAATAAATCAAAAATGCTTCAATATCAACTTCTTGCAATGTGCGCGGTATCTTATCCGATCGATTGAGATGTTGGGTCTCTTTATAACACACTGCTGGTGATATATACTTGATAGCTTGTTGCATTTTTGGTATCTTATCAAATCGATTGAGATCTATATTCAACTTTTCAATCAAGTTTGGCTCGCAGCTTACGTTTACTTGTTTTACCGAATATAATTGTTCCCATAAATCGACATCAAGGTGATTTTTGAGTAGAGATTTGGCTTCAAACTTATCTTCATTCCTGATCGTCTAGGATGCAAAAATCAATCAAGAAACTCATCCTATTCTTTTTCGTTCAAGTCCTTGTCTATATATGTGATATCGGAACAAACACCTTGGCACATCTTAGGTTATCTAACTCCCTGAGGCCACAGTTTGAGCTTACATTTGCAGAAGGTTGTTGGCAATATTCTAAATCACTCGATCACTGTATATCTAACTCCATTAATTGGTTTTTTAACAGGACCTTCTTCACTTCTTTCAAAGAACAAAGGAGCCTCGGTTTTGGATCATGATCATCTTCCAGTTTACAATCCCGTCAACATGAAAGAGAGTCTAAAAACTTACCTGGAGAAACCTCCTAAGGAACGGAAGGAACTGTATCCTTTCTTTGAGATGTGTAAGAATCATTCAGACGTTTCCACACCAAAAACCAATCTAACTAAGAACATTCTTACGAAGCTCAACCTCAGAGTCATAGGACATACACAAAATTAATCAATCAGATGTTACAGTCAGAAAGAGAAGCTTGGGCTGAAAAGATTCAAGACCTCTTGAAATTAGAATCAGCAAACGAAAAAATAAGCCTATGGAATTTCCTTTTGGAGCTCATCAACCATATGCCAACTCAAGCTGTACAGGTCACTTTGATGGCAGCTTTGAAGGAGCAAGAAAAGTTCTTCATGAGAGAAGGCTCGGTAAATGAAGACATGGAAAAACTTTTAGATGAGGTAAAGCTTAAATGCGTACATGAGATCAAATATCATGCAACCTCTTTGAAAGGTAAGATGTGAGTAGCTCATATTTTCATAATTCCCTGTACCTAGACCAACCTAAATTGATGTCATGGGATCACGACACCACTCGCAGCAAATCCGATAGGTTCCAGAATATCTTTACAAAGCAAAAACAAGAAAAACTTGGAAAATATAAAATGAAACTCGAACAGGAATGGCTCCCATCTCAAGCGAACAACTTATTTGAATACTGGGCCACACGTGAGTACTTCAAAAGCCTGACTTCAAGCAGACACAATAATTAGCTCACATTGATTACTTTTGGATATCTGAAGATATGGATGTTTATCTTAAAGTGAAAGCTTCCTTTAAAGCCAACATCGAAAACCAAGTCGTCCTAATAAATTTGATCCAAGCACGACAGAATAATTTTGAAAAAATCAAATTGGTTCCAGAGTTTGAACAATGGATTGCATCACAAATTGAGAAATTGACCCATGAATTGATAGATTTTATTAACACCTTGAATGATGAGTATGTTCGACAAAATTAATTGCTTCTAAAGAGATGCAAGCAAGAATTGACAATTCTCTTTCAAAATGGATTTGTGATTTCTAGAGAAATTATAAAATTTGAGAGCCTTCAATTACAATTAAGTGATGGTTTTGCAATCATTGGGAGTTGGACTCCGGGACAGAAAAAGAAACTCTTGACATTTTGGTCAAAGAGTGAGTAGTGTGGCAATTTTTTTTTGAAGACTAAAATCATACTAATCTCCCTAAAAACTTCATCAAAACAAAACAGATATACCTTTTTATCTTGAAATCAAAGATACAGAAGCAAAGGAAACTTGGCTTCCCAACCTCGAAGAATTGATTCTACAAGACACAGATCATATGGAAAGTGTTATACAAGATTTCCTCAAGATCCCAATTCCTTCAAACTCTGAAGAGTCTACTTTGGAAAGATTTCTTAAGTTTCATGTTGAAGAAACTCGCGCTCAAAGTGTAAAAAAGATGTCTGAAAGAGGTTTACAATATGGCACAACCGCATGAAGGATTGGCTAATGCAAATGCTCAAAGTTGTATAGTTTACACATATATGTACATGGAATTTCTCCTTATCATATTTCATTGTTCTGCCACTATGGTAGAGTAAAATCACTTCTTTCTAGAAGTTTGATGACCCCGTTAAACTAACTTGACATGATATCATTTGACCTGATGTTGATGTACCAAAGACTGGGCTGAAAGTAAGGGTACAGAGTTCAAAAGGGTGTACCAAAAAATCTACTTGATCAAGTCGAATTAGGTGGTTTGATGCTTCCACTATCCATGACAATGCCCGATAGTCTCATGGAAGCATAGTGTTTGAATTCCATCAGTGTACTATTGAGGCGGGTTAAGGAAATAGAAAAGCTCTCAAATTAACTTTGGGAAAGCTCTAACTTCAAAAGATCACCTACTGTACTAGAAATGGAAGACCTATATTGAAGTCATCTATGATACCTTTTGGATATCACTGCAAGTCAACGAATCGATTTCTTCTTGGTAGATGTCATATACCTAGTTTCAATCTTAGTCCTTAATTCAAAATCTCCAGATTCAATTAAATAATCATCAATCCTTTGTCTCCAACCGATCCATTTCTCCGACTTTTGTTTGTCCAAAAGATTACTTAAAACCCAAAGATATTGTTGTTTCCAATACGTTTGAAATTTGGCATCGAATCCATTCATAAGTTTTGATAATTTGCTTAAACCTTCTTCATTTCTTTTTAAAATCGGACATCCAATTCTATCAATCAAGATTAAACTTTGATGAATCCCCGTTTTGGTTCTAGAGTTTTTAGCAGTTTGTAAAAGAGTTGTGAATGAACGAATCGAAGGTTTAATGGTAGGAGCTTTAGTCTTGAGTTCGAGTGTAGGTTGAGTTTCTAAGATTTGATCAGATGAGATTTGATTAAAAGTGATGATGAATCTCAATGCAGATGAAAGTTGATTAGTTTCCCAAGCTGCTTGGATAGCTTTATCTAATGTATCACTAGTAGGTTGTAACTTTTGATTATTCGATTCGATCATCCAAATCAATAATTCTAATTCGTTCCAAAAAAGAATCTCAATAACATTATCAGAAAAAAACAAATAGATATAGAAGAGTCAAAAAAAGGGCGACTTACTTTCTACATCTTCAATCGCATTACATTTTCCCATTGCTATCATTACCAAACCACAATGAACAAAATCAAGTGAATCACGTTTCAAGAATAAATCTCGATCTGATCTAACTTGTTTCCAAACCTCACAAACCATTGAAAACTTTCTCATCTTAAGTAAAATCCTTAACAAAGAACAAAACGAACCTGAATCAAAGCTTAATTGATCATTTGACTTTTTTAAAGCTGATTGCCAAGGTTTATACTTTTGAGTCGAAAGGTTTATGTTTAATTTAGATTCTAATATCTTGATTGCAAACTCTTGATCATGTTCATGAAAAAGTGTAACGAATGAAATCGTCGCTTTTAAATCTAATTCTAAAGTATTTTCTACCCTTTTCCAAATCTGTTTTGCTTTTTCATGATTGTTGGATGAGATTAATGGTTTAAGGATTTCAGTAATAGTAATACTATCGATAGTTTTAGGAGGTAATTTATCAAATAATTCAAATGCGATTTCAGTATGACCATGATTAATTAAACAATGTAAATAAGCATTTGTAAGTGCATTATTTAAAGTTGATCTTGATGTTGATTGAGCTTGTGACCAAATCGATTGAAGTCTTTCTAGTGTGATAGTTTTTGAAGGAGGACATTTAGCTAAAGCTGAAAAGAAAGTAATAAAATATTTCGTATCTGGTTCAATAGCTCTTCGTTTCATCTATAATATCAAATCAAATCAATCAAAAATATCAGTGATCAAGTTGATTTGATACCAATCTGAAGAAAGAGAAATTCACAAAACTAAACTTCAAGAAACAATTTATAAACAAATGAAAACCTTTGAGCATGAATAAGATGTTGAAATAATTGAGTCCAAACAGAAACAGTAGCCACTTGAATGGAAGAAGATTTAACTAATTCAATAGCTTTATCTAATCCTCCATCTTCTCTTTTACAAAGTTGTTGAATTCTTATATTCAATTCTGATGGATTATTAGCATATTTCACATAAATCGGAAACGGTTTCTTTGGTTTTGATGTTGATGTTGATTTGAAGATTGGTGAGAGCTTGGTTGGGTTTTGGTTTGGAGTTGAGATTGATGAATGGTTTCGTTCAAAAGGTTTTGGTTTGATTAATTTTTGGATAAACTGTTGATTGAAGTTCATCTTGTTTTTGGTATGGCGGTTGGGTATTTTGACTTCCAACTATCCAATGATGATGATATGAACTATCATCAGTTTTCTTCAAGTTTTCTTGAATTTCTTTTGTCGATGAAATAGATTTGCAGCTTGTGAATCGAAGAAAAGTTGAATGCAAGCTGACACATGTAACTGAAACTCGTTATTAGCATCCCAGTATGTAATATCTTATTACATATGTAGTCACTAAAATGTTATACAACACCTTCAAGTTCAAGTCGGATCTTTTTTTTTTTTGAAAACTGTTCACTTCCAAATATCAATTGCAAAACACTTTAATACCTTCTCCAACAAACGATCAACTCTCAACCCAAAAAAATGGCTGATCACGGTATCCTTCCACTCGGTCAATCACCAGATACAACCTCAGTAAAACTCAATCGAAAATATCATGTAAAATTAGAACAAGAAAAAGTGATGGATGTACATCCAATTTTACAACTTGAATCATCATCCCCCCCAAAAAAAAATGATTTGATGACTTATTAAAAAATTTTATATTCATCTTTTTAAAGGTTGCTGCTACTGATTTTCCTGGACATTGGCCTGGAGAATCAAATGCATGGGATTTATCAGAATTTAAAAAAGTAATCAAGTTTCATCAGTTTCAAAATCAAAACATCACTGATTGGATTTTCTTTTTGGACTTTTTTGATTTGATTGGAAAGCTAGAATTTGAATATCAAGATCTCAAGATTATCATCTTCTGCAATGGAATTCGATTTAGTAGGAGTAGATGCTAGTATTGCTAATGCTTTACGAAGAATCATGATCGCTGAGGTAAAGGCTTTCATCATACCAATCCATTTTCTTCAAGAAGATCAGGATCAATTAAAGTGGATGTTTTTTTTATTAGGTACCATCAATTGCGATTGAAGATGTATTCGTATGGAACAACACATCACTAGTACATGATGAAGTTTTAGCACAAAGGCTAGGATTGATTCCTTTGAAGGTTGATCCTAGGAAACTAGATATGAGAGGCCGTTTGTCACCTTCGAATTTGACTGATTTTCAACCAATGTATGATTGTTTTTTAAAAGCTCACTTCAAATTGGTTTGATATTTACAGCTGAAGGCGCAACAGATATGAATACATTGGTATTTAAACTTGTTGCACGATGTTCAAGAAATCCAAATGTAAGTAAGACAGAAAAAGATCCATCAATCTTATACACAGATTCAGATGGTCAGTCACTTCTTTTTATGATGATCATTGATTTCACTCAGAATTTCCACTAAGCGATTGATTTTTTCTTTGATCACAGTCACTTCTGGATATTTGGATTGGCAGCCAAAAGGTGATCAACCAGCTTTGTTTGGAAGTCAACCGCCCAAAGCAGTTCAAGATGATATCCTATTAGTTAAGATGAGACCAGGTCAAGAAATCTCAATTGAGATGCATTGTGTCAAAGGAATCGGAAAAGATCATGCCAAATTCTCACCGGTTGGTAAGTGTAACCAAATCACATGGCCTTTGAAATCCTCACAAATGAAACTCATTACTTACTCAAATTTTCAATTCTGAAAACTAGCTACGGCTTCTTATAGATTATTACCACATATCATCATTCATGAACCAATCTTAGAACCTCATTGTGAAAAATTTACTTCTTGTTTTGCACAAGGAGTGATTGAAATCGTTAAAAACCAACATGGACAAAAAGAATGTAAAGTTTTAAATCCTCGTAAAGATACCGTTAGTCGTGAAGTTTTAAGACATCCTGAATTTGAAGGTAAAGTGAGTTTAGGTAGAGTTAGAGATCATTTTATTTGTAAGTCTTTCCTTTCTTTTTCGTCTGAGTCTTCTAATCCATCTCAATCCATAACTGAATCTTTTTTTTTCCCTTTCTTTCGTTGGTTACTTTTAAGTTAATGTTGAATCAAGTGGAGTTTATCGTCCTGAAGAATTACCAATCGAAGCATGTTTAGTTTTATTACAAAAGATTCGATCAGTTAGAGTTGCACTTGAATCTCATACTGAAGATATATCTTGAAAAAAAAATTACATCAAATCTGATTGATTGAATGATGATCTTTCCCTTTTTTTCTTCATCCTTGGGTTCATTGAATTTGCTTGATTTTTGTAATTCTAGACTAAAACAAATCTATTGATTAATCTTACATGCAAAAAGAAACACAAAAGGGGAGAAAGATTGTTTACATATACTGTGCAATTGAGATTTTCAGACATTGGGCTGGAGAGATCTTCCATTTGGTGAAGGCGAGGTTCTAGACTTGCTAATCTGTTGGGTTTGTTATATGTAACCTAACATAAATACCATCCTAGCTTTCTCTCATCGCATATCATACTTTGAGAATAAGCTGGATTCGGGATGGCGGCCGCAGGCCGGCCCGGTTTTGCGTGGGTCGGAAAAACTTTTCTTCCTCACGCAAAGACCGGGACCAAAAGAACCCTTTCGATTTCTTCATCGCTTAATATCTTTCAAATAACTAAACAATCACCCCTCCTGACATGCCCCAAAAGCGTCCGCCGGACAACGGCGATGACGATCCGAACCCCCCCCCAAAAAAACCCGGCCTTAAACCGATCGAACGAAATGGATTCCCTGATGTGCGAATTAAGATCCTCATCAGGAGGTGCCCCACAAAGCTCCCCATCGAACGAAGGCCTAATCCAGATTATGATCAAGATGATGAATGGTTTTGAAAAAACTATCAACGAACTCAATTGTACGATCAAAGCATTACAAGAGGAGATTCGACTGCTTAAGGCCGAACGACCGACTGCTCAAACGAAAACTGCTCAATCACCTCAAACGTTACCTGCTAGACCCAACGCTTGGACGAACCCCTTCCCAAAGGCTACAGTTAAGGCAAACCAGACGCCGAAAGCCCCTCCTAAGAACTCAGAGATCAATGAATTTAAAGTAGCTACATTGATTATACACAAAACTCAAGGAACCGAACCGTTCAAAGACTACTCAAACCTGGCCATAGTACAGAAGATCAACTCGGTTTTAGAATCAATAAACGCTAAAGTAAATGAAACACCAGTCAGAATCAAAACCGCAGCTATCATGAAATCAGGTGATGTCCTCATGACGATGGCTAACCGATTGATGAAAAACTGGCTCCTCGAAAACAAGCACAAGTGGACGAAACTTGCCCACAAGGATTTCGAAACAACCCAGACAAGATATCCGATTCTTTTCAACTATGTCCCAGCTGAAATCAACGTTCAAGAAGCTAACTTCCTCATAAAACTAAGCGATCAAGACGAGATTCCCCTCAACACTATACACTCAGCCCGATGGATCAAAAACCCTGCGGACACCGGGAAGAAACACGGTACAATTGTTATAAATTTTGTTGATAAACTTCTCGCACACAAGATTGAAAAAGGAGGACTGTGCTTTGATGGAAACAGATTTAAGAGTAAAACTTATGTTCAAGGTCCTACCATGTGCTTCAATTGTCTAGGCCTAAACCATACTCACTCTACATGCAAATTCACCGCTAACTGCGTAAAATGTGGTGACACCCATAATTCCAAAGACTGTGCTAACAATGATGTCAGCCAAAATTGCGCCCGCTGTGTGAATTTTGACGCACAGAGAACTAACACTAAGATTGACAGATTCCTACCTAAATATGCCCATTCTCCCAAAAGCCTCTCTTGCCCTCTAAGAAACACTCACTTCCAGATTACCACCCCTATAATAACTGAAGATGAGTTATAATAGCCTTGTAGAAACACCAAACCCAGCACCTATGGACGACGATGACCCTACTCAATTTTTTGCTCCGGAACCTCCGACCCAACTAAACAATTTAACCATCCTACATTTCAACTGCAATAAATCCCAACACATCACCCTAGAAGCACTCACACAAACTCAATACTCAATACTAGCCCTTCAGGAACCATGGTTCAATACCTATACTCGCTCTTTCCCAACACACGAAGCATGGCACTTAATCTCAGCCTATGATTACCACCCAACCACCTGGGAAGACCGGCCCAGAGTGGTAATGTATATTTCCAAATCAGTCCAATCATCCCAGATTTCAATCCTCCCTAGCTCATCTGATATTATACTAGCAGTCGACATCAAAAGCCCAAACTCACAAACCCCCCAGCTACGGATAATCACTTGGTATAACCCCCCGAGTTCTCTCAGAGGATTAGCCACATTAGAAAGATGGCTCCGCCTACACTTCAACCGCCGACTCCCATCCATAATCACAACAGATTCCAATCTTCACCACCCCTACTGGAACCCACCTGGATACAATAGAACAGATGCTCTAGCTAAAAAACTCCTACACATCTGCGGCAGCAAAGGCCTAAAGCTCGCCTCCCCCAGAGGAATTCCGACCAGATACTCCTCAGGTACATCACCCACAACCATCGACCAGTTCTGGGTTAGCTGGAACCTCACGGAGAAGATCTCAGAATGCAAAGTGATGAAAGATAGCGTAGCATTGGATCACTTACCAGTAGCTATTGCCCTTGACCTACAATTCATCCCCCCAATCCTAGAACACATTTCGATTAAAGTAACTGACATTGACCCAAATATTTTCCACGACAGAATCCGACAAAAACTTTCCTTACTCCCACCAGCGTACTTGACAACAGAGGACATCAATACGAGTACAATCCTTCTATCTAGGATTATTCTTGATGCAGCTCACGAACAAGGTAAAAAAGTCAAAACAAACCCAAAAAAGTACAAAGCCTGGTGGGATAAGGAGCGACTAGACCCGATCCTCAAAAACCGAAACCGCGCAAGACGCTGGATGCTCAGATCAAACCTCCCCGAAGCACACAAGTGCTATCAAGAATGGCAGAACTTCTTCAGAAATCAAGTTCTCACAGCTAAAGCCACTCACTGGAAGAAGTTTTTAGCAAGCAGCTCTGGAAACACTACCTTCAAGGCCTTCAGATACACGAAGACGGCAATGTCAGGCGAAGTGGCCCCTCTCCTCCAACCCGACGGATCGGTCACCACCGATAAGAACTCTCAGGCCAGACTCTTGTTCTACGGTACCTCTGTTGCTCATATTGAGGCCGACCTTACCGATATCCCCAACAATCAACGTACCCTTAACTACGACGCTCAATTCCCTCATCCAATCCTTGAGACAGACGAACTCAGACGAATTGTTGAAAAATCCCCAAACAAAAAGGCAAACGGTGGCGACAACCTCTCCAATGAACTAATTAAATTAGCTCTTCCGGCAATAGAACACGAACTTTGCAGGCTCTTAAACGCTTGTTTCAGGACTGGCTACTTCCCAAACACTTGGCGCTCAGCAATCACGATCATAATCAGAAAAGCGGGTAAAGATAACTATTCCAAACCAAACTCATACAGACCGATAGCGCTCTTAAGCTGCCTAGGAAAGATTCTGGAAAAAATCATTACCAGCAGAGTGACGTACTGGGCCGAAAATTTTAAGGTCATCTCACCTTGCCACATGGGTGGAAGACGCCAACATAGCACTGAAGACGCTTTGACTATTTTACTATCTTGGATCAAAGAAAAATGGCGCAACAAACAAGTTGTAACAGCTCTATTCTTAGATGTCAAATCGGCGTACCCGTCAGTACATTGCGAAAGGTTAATGCACATCCTCCATAAGAACAATTGCCCTCGATACCTATCTCATCTCATCCAAGGATTCCTCACGGAAAGAACAACAAACCTTCGCCTACAGGACTTCCTATCAGAAGCTTTTACATTAGAGAATGGATTGCCCCAAGGATCCCCACTATCGGTCATCCTTTATATCATCTATAACTCAGATATACTAGGAAAAAAGGTCCCCAATCCCTTGTCAAACAACTTATCGATTGGATTCATAGACGACATAGTCCATGTTGTTGCAGCAAATTCTTTTGACGAAAACTTACATCTCCTCAAAAATTACGCCGATCAGTCACTAACGTGGGCCAAAAACCATGGTGCCATTTTCGATAAGAAGAAAGCGCAGTTGATGCATTTCACAAACAAGAAAAAACCCACCTTCCCTAATTTCCTATTTGGCGACACCTTGCTACAGCCCAAACAAGAAGTTAAGTGGCTAGGCCTGTGGTTAGATCCTAAACTCACCTTCAACAGCCACATTCAACATGTTAAGAAATCTGCTGAATTTACGCTTCAACAATTGAGAAGAATTAATAAATGCTACTCAGGACTTGCCACAAAAGAAGTCAAGAAACTTATTGTCTCAATACTACTACCCAGAATTCTTTACGGTAGTGTAGCATGGCTGACACAGAAAAACAACAGCAAAGGTTCCAAAATTCTGAACACAATCCAAAATGCGGCAAATAGAACTGTGATCGGTGCCTTCAAAGGAACATCAAATGAAATGATGATGCACGATGTCTACATGCCACCATTCACATGGTACGCGACGCGACGACACCACAACTTCCTCCTTAAAAGACTCTCGGCACCCGATACACACCCTACAAGGTTATTCATCAAACACGAACTAAACACAAATCCAAAGACGAGCAAAGGCCCAATCCAGGATGTGATCAACAAGGCTTCCTTTGACTCTATAGACAAAAAGAACATTGAAACCATATATCCCCACCCGATTGCTCCTTGGATCAACAACATGGGCGAAACCTTTAACCTAGACTTATCAAGAGAAGAAGCAACTAAATGTGTACCGGATCAAGTCAAGTACGAAGAGACGATGAATGAGGCACTGGTGATTTTTACGGATGGCTCTGTAACTCAAGAAGGTGGAGGTGCGGCAGCGGTACCCGAGTCGATCAGCCGGGCACAATCAGTCACTCACAACGACAATTTTTCTAACCACGAAATGGAGTTACTAGGTCTCCTCCTTGCTACCGAACTAGCAAATGAGCGCTTTCAACATCAACGACCCAAACCGAAGAACGTAGCTTTTTTCAGCGACAATCAAGGAGTAATTCAGTTAGCGCACAACATACCAAGAGCATTGTCAGGTCAACACCTCCTCCTACAAATCAGAGCTCAACTTAGAAAAC